GAGCGAAATGGTGAAGTGGAAAATGGGCTTAAGTTGTCGAAGTCTTTTTTAATACTGTTGTTCTGGAAAGCAAGTTAATTTTGGCTTGGAAATAAGTATGAAAGAAACAAATTATTTACTATCTTCACAACATTTACCGTTCAGAATTAATACATTGTGCTGATATTCATTTGTGTCATTCTGACTTATTTCCGAGTCAAAACTGAACTGAAGGTCATCGGACATATGTCCGACCCAAACTCAACGTCTTCGGACATTTTGTCAGACAACCCTGTAAAAGACATTTTAAGGCCTGTCCCAATCCACCCTGTCAACATTCCTTGTTGGAGGAAACCGGGGTACCCGGAGGAAACCCACGATTTTCGGTAAAGCGTTGACTGACTCTTTTCACGTATAAGTGTCATGAGTACGCAGCGAGAATCATACCCATGATCTCAAGAGGTGAAAGACTGATGATCCATAATTGAATGAACAATCCTTGTTATCGTCTTTTATCGGTAATGGATGTGAAATTTAATTGTAATGATATAATATTATCTTTCTAGTACTGGACGAGGCAGATAGGATACTGGACATGGGTTTCAGTGAGACAGTAAATGCCATCATTGAAAACCTACCTGAAGAACGACAGACACTTCTTTATTCAGCTACGCAAACAAGGTAAAATTTAAAACCAGGAGACCTCTGACTGACATTTCGTCAAAACGTTTTTCTTCAAGACTGGTTTAGAAACAAACTTGGAGTAGGGTTAGGTTAGGATTAGAGATGGTGTTTGGAATAGGTGTTTAGCATTAGTAAAACCGTTGCTTTGTTACGTTTTGTCACTCTTGAGGCCAGCGAAATAACCTCTTCCCACCATACGACCCATGTCTGATCAAGGAACACAGCTAAGGTGGAACTTCCACTGTAGGATTATCCTTAGGGGAAAGAGGAAAACCGGAGGACCTAAGAAACACCCTCGAAGCACAGCAGAGAACTAACCATCTACTTAGGAACCGCTCATTATTTATGACGGGGGTGGCACCGAAGAGAAAAAGGTTGGGTAAACAAAATGTTTAGTGAGTAACAGGTTGCGTAAATGAAAAACATTACTCAGACAAGGGTTGGGTGAATAAAAATTTATTGTCATTTCCAAAGCATGACTCGCTCAAATATTGAAGACTAAAGAACAATGTCAACAGTCGTATGTCAATACAATATGTACTGTAAATCAATCCGAGTTACGATCATTTTCCGATTTGTCAGGAGGCAAATCGTGTCTCCAAAGAAAGTGCATGTGCAGACAACATGAAACTTTAGACTGCAGAAAAGTGCACAAGCAGTTATCAAACTCATGTCACAACTGAATGGTGACCAGTACCCTTCTGTAAAGTTTTTGGCCAGGGACGGGTAGTTATGTTTTAATTCATATTTGAGGTTGTGGAAAAAATGGTCGACTTTTTAATGGTTACCGTTGATTTTTAACAAAAAAAAAATTATCTTCGGTGCTACCTCCCGCCATAAATAATGACCAGTCCCTTACATCAGTACATAGTATATCCAATAACCATACATGATGCTGAAGATTATTTCAATATATTTTTAGTTCTGTTAGTGATTTGGCCAGACTAAGCCTTCACGTAAGTTTTTCATTAAATGTAATAGCCCTGGAGTTTTTCCAATCAATGAAGATCATAAATAAAGCATGCTATCATGCGACATTAATACTATTTTGTGGCTGTGTCTATCAACAACGATTTCGTTTCACTGGTCATTGGGATGGAAAAAGTTTATCGTGTACTGATTATGTCAACCCGTCGTAGACTCAATATGTCACTAAAGTGTCGGTTTATGGTTTAGGACCCAGAGTATGTGTCAGTGTACAAGGATTCCGAAGCTAGCACTCCACAAGAGTTAAAACAAGTGAGCTACAGAATTTGGGCACGTTTTTACCATATCCTTGTAATAACTTTTCTTATTCCAGCTACAAGACTTCCCATATTAAACATGTGCTGGTTCTTTCTACAGAGTTATGTTGTCTGCGAGCTTCAAGACAAAATCAATTTCTTATATTCGTTCGTCAAAAATCATTTGAAAAGCAAGATCCTGGTGTTTTTATCCAGTTGTAAACAGGTCAGTTTTGATCTTTGGTTAGCTTCATCAGTTCGTACTTCCAAACTGTTCTCCCAAGAGTCATCCCAGTATTTCTGCAGGAGGGAACCTAAGGTCCCATTTACACACCACCGGATTCGATTCTTACGACAACATATGCCGTTCAGGAGTAATATCTGTCCACAAAAATTTTCCCTTTAACAGTTTTCGTTTTATTTTGTCATCGCAATTTTAAGTATTAAAATATTCCTGAAACCGTTAAGTTCCGATGTCGTGACAAGCAAATCCGGTATAACTGAGGCCTAAATTGAACAAACTGTATTTTTACTAGATAGCTGTATCAGTCGTAAGACCATCACTGGACCCTCTAGGAAGAGCGTTTCGACAGAAATGATACAAGGATAAATACATGTTTTCGCTCGCTACTCTGTTTTTTTTTTATAAATGAATACGAAGCCCAGTCGAATTACATTCACGACCGAACGTTTCGACATTCCAGTCGAGTGTCTTCATCAGGGGTGATCTGAAGTCGCAACGTGACTTCTTATATATCCATGGGATGACGTCATCTGCCATTCTAAATTGAGGTTTCGTCCTACAGTAACACTGGACCAATACAGTAAAGGCCCATTTCCGAAAATATCATTGTTAAAAGTTGAAAATTTTCAACTTCAAACTTTTTTTCCGACGAAAGATTTGTGTTGGCCAATCAAATTTTACAAAATGTTCTTTCTGCGGAAAATTTTCTTGAGTGGAAATGGGCTTCTAAAAAACTCGCGTGTTACTGGACCTCTATAAAGAAAGAGCCACTTTAGAGGTAATAGAGCTATCCACTATATCAATTAACTGTTGGAAATATTTTTCAGGTAAAATTTACTTACGAAGCATTTCGTCGTCTCAGACCGGGCATTCCATTGATGGCGCTGTATGGCAAACAGAATCAGATAAAACGTGTTGCGATTTATAACGATTTTTGTAAGAAAACATCAGCAGTTTTGTTCGCAACAGATATAGCGGCCCGCGGCTTAGGTGAGTGAAAGAAAAACATATATAGTTTGCATTGAAGAGCAAAATAACCAAGAAGGGGCACATTGCGTCTATTTTGCCGGACGACCAGTACAGGAGAAAATCTCTTATCTCTCCAAGCACAAGAGCGAACAACCGCAACTTTACTTACAATAAAAGCTTTACCTATAGAGGATCTGTCCTGTGGGATAGCCTACCTGTTGAAGTAATTAACGCTACATCTGTAGCAACTTTCAAAAATATTTGAAGGCAATTATCACAGTTAGTGTTATTATAGTTAATTTTTGAAAACATTAAATACCTTGAAAACATCTATTCTACACGGCTCCATGGAAGAGTACATTTTGTGAATGAATTCCGTGTTTTAATAAAGTTTTAATAATAAAAATAATAACATTTCAATTGCATCAAGTCCGTACATGGTAGTTCATCATGGTAGTTCATCCATCAAAGTAAGATCCCAACCACGACCTTCATTATAGTATCTTTAGCTAGCAGGACGACGGCTATTAATACAATGAAATTTAAAATAGTGTAGCAAAGTGAATAATCGTGAAGTGAATAAGTCCCTCGGGAGTTTTAGACGTGGTCCTTCGCTCTGTTTACAACAGCAAACCAAAGACTTTTACGTCTTGTATACAACGCCTCGCAAGCTTCTTCTCAAGAATTAATCAAAATTATGTTACCATAAGTATTTACTGACACATTCGAGAAATTGTAAACTTAATACATGGCAAGCTTTTTATGTATTTTTGAATAGATTTTCCAGCAGTTCATTGGGTTATACAACTTGATTGCCCCGAGGATGCAAACACGTACATTCACCGAGCAGGAAGAACAGCAAGGTTATTATGCATTTAAATTATCTAAAGTTGTACACATCCATCTCTGCTGTACCTATCATGTCAGCCACCACACATCTTCTGATCTCTTCATTCCATATATTTGACCAGCTCTCCTTCATCTCTCTTATTACGTGTCCACACCATCTCAGCCTTGCTTCCCTCATCTTCTCTGCGATGCCTACAATCCCACCTCTTCTTCTGATCTCTTCATTCCATATCTTGACCAGCTCTCCTTCATCTCTTTTTATTACGTGCCCCTCACCTTCTCTGCAATATCTACCACAACTTCTGATCTCTTCATTCTTCTTCTTATCTTTCAGCAAAATCCCTACGATCCATCTGAAAGATTCTACGATACAGATACATTATATGTCTTATTTTTACTTTTTTGCTCAGGTATCAAAGAGATGGCCATTCCTTATTAATATTATTACCATCTGAAGAAACCGAAATGTTGAAAGTAAGTTCAAAATCCAGAATACTTGCGAGGAAACTTCTTTACATATAGTTCTATATGCCGTATTCTTACATGTGAAAAGATATGGATAGTATATGTTTCTATACTTTTTACCGTTGATGTTTTCCTCAGGAACTCGAAAAGAAGAAGGTTCCCATTACTGAAATAAAGTGAGTTTTGAACTTTTGACATCGTGACAGGGATTTTATCTGGAAGCTACAAGATAAGTTCTCTGAGAAGAGTGTTTCCAGATTGACTCGATACCAAGCAAGTATCTTGCTAGACAACTAGGTACAGTAGTTTAGAACTGACAGAGCTATCCAGTATGAATACAGTTAGTTTAGTTTAGTTTAGTTTAGTTTAGTTTACAGTAGGCTTCCTCCTGTACAGTAACACTGGAACAATACGGGATGACCCTTATTGGACTTCTAGGTACAACAGTTTGGAACTGATAGAGCTAGCTAGCTATAGCTATATCCAGTATGAATACAGTTAGTTTAGTTTAGTTTAGGTTTCCTCCTGTATTAATAACACTAGAGGAACAAGCGATGTTCCTTACTGGACCTCTATATGTTTATTCTTTATATAGAGCGAATCCTAAGAAGTTATCAAACGTGCAAAAGAAATTGGAAGGGCTGTGTGTGCAGGATCACGATATTAAACAATGGGCTCAGAAGGTCCACATGCATTTATATATTCATTTTTTTACTTTGGTCTGGTAACCGATACTGGAACTTAAATTTTTTCCTAATCATAAATCTAAAGGAATTATTTTTCTAGAGTGTGGTATCGTATGTGCGATCAGTTTATTTACAATCAAACAAGGAAATATTTAACGTAGACGAATTACCAGTCGAAAAATATGCTGCGTAAGTTGACTGTACTGGTAGCCTTTCATGCCTTAATTTTATTCATCTTGTGAACATGTACTGTATGTTTTGAATGCTTGTAGATCACTTGGACTGATAACAGCCCCAAGGATACGATTCTTACAGGTATTTTAACTTACATTTCATGCTTTTAAATTCCCAAGTGTTTACAAGGTCTTTATGATCTAGATGTCTCTTCTTTTGTCACATTCTCTTCAGAAACCAACAAAGGTTACTAACTCCTATCCTTTGCAGAACTTCTCTTGTTCGAGACTCATTTTTCAACTGGACTGTTTTCTTTGGAACAGTCTTCCCGCTCATATCACCGAATGTACCTATATATCCTCTTTCAAACACAATCTATATTCTCACTACCTTTCCAACTTGAATCTACCTTTGACGTCAATCGAATGCACAGGAAGACTAATAGTTCTCAGTGTCATTCCTATACAACCCAACTTGTGTCTGTTAAAGGTTAATTTCATGGATTTTTCATGAACTTTTTCTGTAAATATTTGTTCAAATATATCAGTGTGTTAATGTGTGTTTGTGTCTTGAAATATATGTTATAACTATTGTTGTCTTTCTTGGATTGGTCTTAATATGGGATTCTTGTCCTGTTGACTATACCTTCAACCTTATTTGCCCTTCAGTGTGTATATTCTTAAATTTAATATCCATTTGTTCATGTGTAAAAGGTTGTAAAGTTAGTAAATCAATAAGTAATCGTAAGAGGTTTATATGTTTTCGTTCGCCTTAAATCAATATTTTTTTATTCTGTTGCAATGTACGTGTTTTAGAAAGCGAAAAAGAAACATGGCCACATACCTAAAGTAGTAGATAAAACAAAGACGACGAATAAACCAGCTTCAGAAATATTATCAGACGGAAAGCAGGATTTAACTAATATCGAACAAGACTTTTTGGTCTTACGGAAAAGAAACGTTGAAATCTCGTCTGAAAATGAAGAGGTAACTTATTTCAAACAAAAGACTCTTACTGCACCTGTAAGGGGAACAGTTTAGAACTGATAGTGCTATCCAATTTAGATTAGTTTAGGTGTCATATGTAGTAACACTGGATCAATGCGAGATGGCTCATACTATACACCTCTGGGTAGAACAGTTTAAAATGGATAGAGCTACATGCATATAAAATAATGAAGCTATAAAATAATGAAAGATGGTAGTTACTGCATGAAACTCTATGAAGAACAGTTTGGAACTGATTTATTTAAACATCATATTTCATTTTCATTAAGGACTCTATGGAAAATGAACCTAACGAGAACACAACAGAAGTAAGTATGGTTTGAACTGTTATTCGCTAATGAGAGTTTTAAAAATTTAAAGGATGAAATTCCTAATATTGGAACTCATGTGTTTAAAGATTGGGAATAAAAAGAACAAAATCAAAACAAAGACAACTTCTGCAAAGAAAGTTTTGAGAAAGAACATCAAAGTCAACAGTAAAGTTATATTTGACGAAGATGGCGAGGTTGGTATCATTAACCAGCTAGAGGGCATACATAAATTATACAATGGGCTATTACTCTGCCCGGCAAAACAAGACAAACGTTTGCTAATGGACCTATTACCTAATGAACAAATTTTGATCTAGACAAGTCTAGACAAAAATGTCATCACAGCTTGAAAGAGCATCGCAAAATTAGTAACATTTCGACGTTTCGTTGCGAAATGTTGTAAAATGCGGATAATATAGCCCTGCGAAGTTTGCTGTTTTTCAGTCATTTTGTATTACGCACGGGAAATTGATACCGCTTTCTGAAAAAAAAGGACATACTCGAACCGACCTGACTGCGTAGCTCAGTTGGCAGAGCATTGGGCTAGTATTCCAAAGGTCGTAGGTTCGTTCTCACCGTGGCCAGGCATATTTTTCAAGCTTGTCCGGTGTGAATATACACTCAGAGTAAGATCACAAACATCATATTTCGATTTATTTTACAGCCAATGACGGTAAACGCCCAGACAGAGGGTGAAAGAGAACAGAAGATGTTAGGAGCAGTGTCGTCGCTTGAAAATGGCGATAGCCCGCATGATGCAGGTGGAATTGATTTAAAGAAATCCTCGCAAAAACTAGTCAAACAAGATAAACTTGATAAACGGGAATTTCGGGACAGGATAAAACAAAAGCATCGTGAGAAACGAATGAAAAATAAAGTGAAGAGGAAACGCTGTGAGGTATGGCACAAAATCATGTTATTCTTGATATACTCTATATTAAAGCTGAGTTAAGCATGTTTAGATCGGCTACCTTAGAGTGATCTGATGTTGTACAGAACTCACTGCTGAGTTAAGCATGGTTAGATCATGCAGAGGTGGTACATGTTCTTGAATGTGAGCTGCCTAAAGTGGTCTGATGTACAGAACTCACTGCTGAGTTAAGCATGGTTAGATCCTGCAGAGGTAGTACATGTTCTTGAATGTGAGCTACCTTAGAGCGATCTGATGTTGTATAGAACTCACTGCTGAGTTTAGCATGGTTAGATCATGCAGAGGTAGTACATGTTCTTGAATGTGAGCTACCTTAAAGTGGTCTGATGTTGTACAGAACTCACTGCTGAGTTAAGCATGGTTAGATCATGCAGAGGTAGTACAGGTTTTTGAATATGAGCTACCTTTAAAGTGATCTAATGTTGTGCAGAACTCACTGCTGAGTTAAACATGTTTAATAGTACATGTTCTTGGCTACCTTAAAGTGATCTGATATTGTACAGAACTCACTGCTGAGTTAAAGCATGGTTAGATCCTGCAGAGGTAGTACATGTTCTTGAATATTAGCTACCTTACAGTGGTCTGATGTTATAGGTAACTCACTGCTGAGTTAAGCATGCTTGAATACGGACTAGCCTAAAGTGCTCTCATGTTGTACATAACTCACTGCTGAGTTAAGCATGGTTAGATCATGCAGAGGTAGTGAATGTTCTTGAATGTAAGTTACCTTAAATTGATCTGATATTGTACAGAACTCACTGCTGAGTTATCATGCAGAGGTATTACATACTGCATACAGAACTCGTGCGAATAGACCTAATTTTTGTGCTCTTTGATTATAGGACGACGACGAAGATGAATGTATTGTTACATTGAAGAGCACTGAAGATGATGACCTCGATACAAAAATGGACAGTGATAGTGACAATAGTTACAGGTATTGTCTATTAGAGAGATTTAGTCTATGACTATATTTTGCAACTTAAAGAAAAATGAGCCCGGATCATCTTCAGTCATAAATACTATATTTTCCCATAATTTAGAGCACCGCCAAAACGATCAAGACGAGACATAGAAGAAATTGTCGAAGCACCTGAAGGAACATTGCACGACGATGAAGAATTGGCTTTAAAACTATTGACTGACTGATATACAGATAATGGACAGAGAAATTAAGCGGACAAGAATGACATACGGGAGGGGGGTATTGATTGACTTCTACAGGGGAAGCATGACATTTTTGGGGAGGTGTACGTTTAGAGCGGATAAAGAATCTAAGACAATGACTGCGTACAGCATATCGACCGTATAGGATAGGAAAGGAATAAATTGTAGCAAGAGTGATCAGCATATAATATGCTGGGAGTTTTTGTGACATGACTGTTAAAAGTGTTTTGGTACAGTATTGAATGACCATACTTTAGATTTAGCGTGAATTGGAGGGCTGACTACGTGGTGCATTATATTTATATTTAAAAGCTTCACCAAGGTGGATTAACCGCAACAGCGAGTGGCCAATTACTAGTTAATTTTGAGCCTGGGCTATTACGGAAAATAAAACACGTGGGGTGGGTATATTACTATACCGAATTTGTGTTTGGGTTTAGGATTAAATTGTATTGAAATTGGGGTCGTTATATTATATAAACTGACTTCAATTCTGGCTTTTAAATTTCTTAAAGGACAAAATGCGCACAAACATTTTTCGGTCATTTATTGTGCAGAAATGCGTTTTCAAATACGGGTCAAGTCTTTACATGCCTTCCTGCACTTTGCGCGATGTTCAAAACCTGTAGCTCTCATGTAAACAAACATTAGAGAAAAAATCCTTCGCGAGTCTATCAAAAATAGAATGTACTATGTCTTATCTTTTGTGGAATTTCTTTGAGGAATCCTTAGCATAGTCGAGTAGCAATTGACAAGGTTCAAATTGAGCTTCGCCAACTTCGGACTGTAATTGTCGCATCTTATTCACGAGATTTTCAGCGCCATACGTATCCACGAATCTGAAGGGACCTATATGGAATATAAATATTGTTAACACTAGATGCGAATCAATTCTATCCAAGAGCTGCCAATGTCTAATGCATGGTCCTTACTTGAGCTCTAGGAAGGACAGTTTAGAAGTGATAGAGCTTATTCAGTGTAAATAAAGTTAGTTTAGGTTTCCTCCTGCAGTAACACTTGATCAATAAGGGATGACTCTTACTGAAACTCTAGGGAGGACAGTTCAGAACTATTCAGGTTAAACAAAGTTAGTTTAGTTTAGGTTTTCTCCTGCACTAACACTTGATTAATAAGAGGTTTCCTCCTGTAGTAACACTGGATTGATCAGGAGTGGCTCTTACTGGACCTCTAGGGAGAAAGGTATAAGACTGATAGAGCTATCCAGAAAAAATGCAGTAGTTAGTTTAGTTTGTCGAAGGGCGTTGTAAAACGATAAAAATTTTGTTCTCCCGAAATATTACGAAAGTCACAGAACTGTGGAATCGCATCAAAAATTCGTATCGCCACCACTCCCACAAACGTCTACGACCGCACCTACATATTTTTGCATGTTTACAATTCTAATTTTAAACAGCCAATCGACGTTCAATTGTAATTGTTACCAAGAACCGGATTGGCTGTTCAAAATTAGAATTGTAAACATGCAAAATTATGTAGGTGCGGTCGTAAACGTTTGTGGGAGTGGCGGCAATACGAATTTTTGATGCAATTCCACAGTTCGGTGACTTTCGTAATACCAAATATTCAGGGTTACTGTAGTTTTGGCGCCTACCTCCTAAAAATGGTGGAAATCCTAAACCAAATACTGCACCTATATCACCATCAACCTGAAATGAACAACAATTAGATATTATAGGACTAAACCTCTCGATTTTCTTGATCAAGAGTTGCATGAGAGTTTACTGGATATTATCGGTCAAACAAGCAAAAACTCGCATCAACTCTCATCAAAACTTGAACCAGCTGAAAGTTGATGGATGAGTGTTGGCGGGTCAAGCGGGAGTTGCAACTCTCATGCTCGTTTGACCAGCGGCAGGGTGTTTGTCAGGACACTCGCATATAAACGTTGTGGTTCCTACAAACAAATAACTCACCGGACTGTTCAGAATTCCTTCTTGTAACGTTAACAAAGCTTCGTTGGTAAACCGAGAAGCTAAACGCAATTGGATATCTTCTGGAGTGTGACTAAATATAAATATGAGAAAAATTATCACCCTGTAACATTTGTATTACTATAGTTATGGTATTACATTAGTTTTCTAGGAATGTGGTTTGCATAACACTTGCATAACAATACTGTCATCCAGTCGCGATCCTGTCATTACAATGTTCCATTGGCATTGTGTTTTCATTGTTTTGAAAATCCCACTGTTCTCCATGTCATCCAGTCACGATCCAGTGATAGGAATGTTCCATTGTCTTTTCATTGTTTTTTCATTGTTTTTATAAAATCTCACTGTTCTCTCAGTTTGACGTAATATAATAAACAGGAAAGCGTTTATTACCGGCGTATACAATACCGAAAAGCTAGGCGAGTTTTTCCAACACCGGTGATAACGAGCTTTTGAGTTTATTATATTAGAGAGGTTAAGATACCCAGGTTCCGGTTTGTGGGTACAAGTGATATACACGTACCCATAAACCGCGTACGACTTGCAATGCTTGCAACTTAAGAATTCCAAGGTACGTTTCGTTCCAGAGATTCACCATAGATTTGGGAAAAATTGACGAGCATATATGTGCATTGATTTATTTAGGTAAGATGATGAAGTATTTTACTACCTTAAACGGCCCACAAATAGTAGACAGAAAACACCCGTACCCGTTCATCCTTTACGTGTAGATCATGG